CGCTGTTTTGGCGGGGGAGGGGGCTGGAGGGTGGGCACACGGCCTGGCTTCTGTGGTCCAGTCACATGGTGTGGTTTGACTTGGCTGTACAGAGACCCCTGACTTGGGAGGGGAGGGGGGAGTGGTGCCCCCTCCTCCCTCCACTCCATGACTCTTCCCTTGCTACTTGTCACTTGCCCTCACCTCCCACCCTCAGCCCGGTGACCTGAATGTGTGCCCCACCGTCCTTGTCCTGAGTTGAATGTCCCTTTGTGGGGAGCGGGGGGCAGGGGGAAGTGTCCGTCCCCCAGGGGGCAGAGGGAGGGAACCCTGGGCCGCCCCCCCTGCTCACCTGGAGCCCAGTGGGTTCGCATCTTCCTTTCACTTCGGCTCCTGCACATGACGGGCTGAGAGGCATTTGCGTGGAATTGTGCACAGCCTGCGTGTCCGTGTACACCGGCACAAATCCACTTCCCCGTGCGTGGTGGGAAGCGTGTGTGCACAGGGGGGAGTTACCGCCCCCGTATGCGGGGAGGTGTGCGCCCGTAGGTGCGTGGAACCTGCTTGGGCATCAGCACTTGCCCACCTGCACGTCGGTGTGGAAGAGCTTTGCATACCAGAGCGCGTGTGATGTGTGTGTGTGCAAATGTGTGTAGCTGCAAGAGACTGTATGTATGTGGGCCACATATGTGTGGACAGAGGGGTGTACATGGAGGTGCATGTTGACCTGTGTGGGAGTGTGCAAATGTGTGTAGACCCAGGCGTGCGGAAGTGCCTGTGTGATGAACTGTTCCATCATCCCTGCACCACTTGCTCTGGCCGCCCTCCCAAGCCCCCAGCCCCTTGGCCTCTCAAAGCCCACAGCACGTCAATGCTTCCCCCCTACCCTCCAGCTGCATGCGCCTCGCTGCTCTGTCCATCCGTGTGTGCTTGACCAAGAGAAAACTAAACCGCCTGGGGGGGCCCTTGTACCTGGTCCTCCCAGCCCCCGCCCACTGTGCTGTGATACTCACGGGGGCTTTCTCTCCCGCCCCTTCCGCAATATGCTGTTCCCCTAGGAGCCTCGGGCTCGGAGAGGGGTCCCAGGTGGGCCCCCCCGGGGCGAGCCCTGGCTCCACACCCTGCCCGGTCCACCCCGTAGGGCCCGTGTTGGTGTAGCAGTGATGGCTTCTGTGGATATTCTGTGACCTCTGTCAGTGTAACTTGACAATTTCTAAATGGAAAAGGGTTGCTGTGTTTTCTCTGTCTCTCTTTTTTAATGTCCTTTTTCTTCTCCCCACTTCCCTGCTCTCCTTTTTCGGTTTTCTAGCCGAGTGTTTGGGGCTTAAATAAAACTTGTTTCTTTTTCCTCTCCTGGACCTCCTTCCTATAGGCTGCAGTCTCATTATTTCTCAGCTTCACCCTGGAAGGGGCGGGGATGGGTGGGGCAGAGGAGGGGGGTCCCTGGTAGCCAACTGTCCCACAGCAAGGCTCAGGGGAGGAGGGGCAGGAACACCACAGGGACTGCTGCTGCCCCCAAGGGCCCTGAGACCAACTTCGGGAGGCTGGAGAGGAACAGCTCTTGGCTAAGCTGCTTCACCACCATCAGTGAGGTCGCTACGGGCGTTGCTAACACCTGTGGGCGACAGAGCCGGAGATGTTAGATGTCTGGCTCAGAGTCACACAACTAGTAAGGTGCACTGAGGATTAGAATCCCGCTCTGCCTGACCCAAAACCCAATGCTTTCTCCCCAAAACGAAGTAGGGTCTGATTATCTCTAGTAGTCCCCATTTCTCATCTCAACGATTCAGACATGTACACACACACACACCCATACAGTTAGTGAAACAGCACTTACATAGACAATGCACTCTGGTGTTTTCTGTTAAATTCTAAACATTTCCGTCACAACCCACTAAATTGATTTCATGACCTTTCAATGGGTCAAAACCCAGGGTTTGAAACACTGTCTGCTGGTCGAGTTTCAGCCCCCATCATGTTGCATTTCCGCCTTCTCCTCAAAGGCCTACTGGCTCCACTTACCCCATTCTCCTCGGAAATGGAAAGACCCCTGAGAGGAGATTTATTCTTGGTTCCGATTGGGTGGGGGCCCTGACCCTGACCCTGACCCTGTAGCCAGAAAGCTGCCGGAACCCTTCCAGGTTATTATAGCAGAGGCCAGCCTGCCCCACCACTGAGTGGCCGGATGTCCTGATGGGGCTTTTAGGTTTGCCTGGAATTCTGAAGGCTGCACCACTGTTCCAGCACATTCTGAAGGTCCTCAGGCTGCCCTCTGAGGCATTCTCCTGCTTCACTGAAGCCTGGGGTGTTATTGGGATTCCTCTACCCCCAATAGACCAGCCCTAGACGATGCCTCCTTTATTTAAACAGGACATGCGGCCTGCCGGCCATGAGTTTGACATGCTTGCCCTAGACCTTAGAACCCTGACACTTGACCCCCTGACTGCTGACCTTTGCCCCCTTGCCCTTGACACCCGAATGATAAACCTTGACCCCTGACCTTTGACCTCTGAATGTTAACCCCCCTGAACCCTGACCTTTGACTCTAAACCTTGACACTTGACCTAGACCCTTAACTACCCTAGCAACCCTAACCCTTAACCCCAAACCCCTAGCACTAGCCCTAGTCTTTGACACCATGCACTTTGACTTCTGACTTCTGACCCTTAACCATTGATCTTTGACCCTTGACCACCCTGACCTTGACACCTGACCTTAGGTACCTGACACATTTTTACTCTTGACCTTTGACCCTTGACCCCAAAACTTGACAACCCTAACCATAACCCTAGACCTCAGACCCTTGACTCCTGAACATTGACCTTTGACCCCTGACCCTTGGCAGCTGACCTTTGACCTCAACAGTATTTGACCCCAACCTTGAGCCCTGGCCTTTGACCTCTGAAATTTGACCCCTGACCCTAACCCTGACTTTTACTCTTGACCTTTGACCCTTGATCCCAAAACTTGACAACCCTAACCATAACCCTAGACCTCAGACCCTTGACTCCTGAACATTGACCTTTGACCCCTGACCCTTGGCAGCTGACCTTTGACCTCAACAGTATTTGACCCCAACCTTGAGCCCTGGCCTTTGACCTCTGAAATTTGACCCCTGACCCTAACCCTTGACCTAGACCCCCTTAACAACCCTAACCCTCAGCATAACCCTAGATATCAGACCCCATGACCTTTGGCCTCTGACCTTTGACCTCTTGAACCCTGAACTTTGACACTTGACCCCAGACCTTCAACCCTTGATCATGAAACTTTGACACATGACCTTTTACCCTAACTCTTGACACTTGACCCTTGAACTAGACCAATGATGGCGAACCTTTTGAGCTCGGCGTGTCAGCATTTTGAAAAACCCTAACTTAACTCTGGTGCCGTGTCACATATAGAAATTTTTTGATATTTGCAACCATAGTAAAACAAAGACATTTTTAGATATTTTATATATTTAAATGCCATTTAATGAAGAAAAATCAACCCAAAAAATGAGTTCGCGTGTCACCTCTGACACGCGTGTCATAGGTTCGCCATCACTGAACTAGACCCTTGACAACAGTAACAACCCTATCCCTAACCCTAACCCTCACTATAACCCTTGGTTATCTTTGATGACTGTCACCTGATTTACATATGAATACTAGGCTCATCAAAGGCAGCCTGGAAACTGGCAAGGAAAACTATAGAGCCAAGACATAGAAGGAAAACACACCATGCTGTGAGTTTGCACATGTGAATAAGACAGTGGGCAGAACCCATAATGTCCTCTTGGGATACTGTCAGGGCCTAGAGTGCCTATGATGACAGCTGGCTGGGATGGGCCCTATCAGTGGCCTGCGCCTTGTCCAAGCCTCCTTCCTGTCTTCTTGGCAGTGAAAGGGGGCAGAAATAGAATATTGGGGAACCAGCTAGTATTGTAAGAAATATTCATCATGCTCTGTTAACCAGGATTGTTTTATTCTGATTAAAGAAGGCACACTCTACCCTGGCTGGAGCTGACCTAGAGATGCAGCCCTTCCTCTCCATTTGGAGCTGCCTATTATCATGGAAAGATTAACAAAGATTTGTTATAGAAACCAAAATCTGACAGCCCTTTGAAGATTCCCAGCTCTTTTTGCATACCTGCAGGCCTTTGCAAATCTCCAGCCTGCTTACCTGTTAATTTTGGCATTCCGTTTAGCTATTTCCCCACTTAACCCCAGACCTTGCATATCACTAAGCCCTTTGGAGACCCCTAGTCCTTTTGCATATCTGTAAACTGCCCTTTTGCCTACTTTTCTTTGTACTTATAAGCAGCCGGCTTATGGTGGCTGCAGAGAGGTTTTTGTGGACAACCTGCTGCTCTCCCATACCGCGGCAATACTGGAATAAACGCTCATAACGATTCAACCCTGTCTCTGCTTAATTGGCTCAAGTAAGTGACAGGCAGCCCGGCCCCATTGTTTGTCTGGTTATAGCAGCACCTCTGGACCATTCTGAAGGTCCAGGCAGGCCTGAGAAGGAAAATAGACCCGCTCTCTGTATTTCTACAGAGGCATGGAAACCTCCGTGCAATGAGTGTCACCTGCCCTTCCGTCTTGTATTCTGTGCCCATGCCACCACTCACTCTGGTCTCCCAGAACAAGACACCTACAAAATTACCAGGCGGAAGAGCTTTGCCTCCACTCTGCCACCACCTGGTCCAGCCCCCCTAACCCTCACTCTTCCCCCACCTCCTCTGGCCCTCGCCTCCCTCCAGAACAAGTGAGACATCTGACTTGTGCCTCAAGGAAGGCCATTTATTTCCAAGATATAGACTATACTTTTAAGACAGAACTTTTCAGAAGCAGGAACTCTTAGTTGTTGCCTAGATAGGTGTGTCAAAGACACAGTGAAAGGAGACATGCAGACGTGGGGCCGGAGGTTTATCCAACACTGTTACAACACTTCTTTAAATGAGCAAAACATCTTTAAAAATCCTTATAAATTCTTTATAATATGTTACACATTTAGAGACAATATTTACAATAAAAGGAAGGGGGGAGGAAGGAGAGAGAAATCTACTTTACAGCAAATCTTTGCATAAACCAAGAGGACTGATAGACGTGGCAGTAGGGTTCACGCCCCACACGGGCTTCCCTGGAATGAGTGAGGGCGTGTGTGGGAGGCCTGGTGAGTGTGTGGGAGGCGGGGGGGTGGCAGGTCTATTTACAATGGGAGGGAGGAGGACAGGGGGCTGGGTCTTGCCCATCCTGAAGGACCAGCCCAGCTCAGACCCCATAAATCAGTGTGTGTGTGTGTGTGTGTGTGAGAGAGAGAGAGAGAGAGACAGAGAGAGAGAGAGAGAGAGAGAGAGAGAGAGAGGAGAGAGGGAGGAGAGATGGGATGTTTTACTAACCCCCAGAGGGCAGAAGGTGGGGGTCTGTGTGCCTGAGTTGTGGAAGAAGCAGGCACAGCTGGAAGAACAAAGAGAGAGGCAAGGGAGGTCTAGTAGGGGAGGGACCCTGGACCCTCCCCAAACTGTCTGGGGAATGGACAGCTCCCCATGGTCAAAGCGCTGTTGGGTGGGGGGTGGGGAGGGGGGTGATTTAGAGTTTGCCAAAAGGTTGGTGGGGGAGTATACCTGGTGAGAGTGAGTCCTGCCTCCGTGGAGTGGCCCCACCCCCCTTCTCTGGCTCTGAAAAGCATCAGGGGTTAGGACCCCGGGGGTACCAAGGGCAGGAGCCCTGGCAGGGGTGGGGACACAAAGGAAGCAGGGGCGGCAGAAGTCCCTACTGGAAACACCTGTGGACAGTGACTGCACACACGACACCCCTCCCATGGACACCAACACCCTCACCCCCTCTCCCCAGACACCCCCCGCCCCCACCCCCTTCGCTAGGAGCTAACGGGTGGGGGTGGGGCCAGAGGAAGGAAGGGAAGAACCAGCATCACCCAGTGTCTTTCCTTTAGTCTGAGACTCGGGGTTCCCTATCCACACCCCATGGCCAACAGGGTCTTTAAGTGCAGACACAGAGAGGCCCATACGGGCACACCCTGCCATTTACCAGGGGACGCGGCCCCCCGCAGCCTCTCCCTTCTCCCCCATCCACACTCCGCCCGCTCCCTCTCGACCCGGCGCACAGACCGGAG